TGCTGTGTTTTGAAAAAAAAGTTTTCAATTTTTTTTCGTTATTAATAATACGGTTGGTTGTATATATCAGTGTGGTTTAGAATCCATGCATAATTAATCGTTACTCTGAGACCGATTGCGTTTTTTTATTTTTTTAACTGAATGTTTAACAACAGTCACTTGTTTCATTCCAGTTAATTTTTTTTTTTCGAATCCGATAAATCAATTTTAAAAATTAGTTCCGCTATCTAGGTCTCCATCTGGACAAACATCATTGGATGAGAATTTATCGTAATTGTTGAAGTATTAGTTTCAATCATAGAAAATAAATATACCAATAAATCAAAAATATTTCGCTTCCACACTACCGGAGGTAGGGAAAGCTTTGTATTCGTGCGAGAGGTTAAACAAAAATTAAGAATTGGTAAACGTAAAATGAAATAGCCATCAATTTTATCAAATTCTACCTACTACTACAAAAAGAAGTACTTCCGCTTTTAGATACTTCAGGTAATAGCTTTTAGATAGATCAGGAAATATGTTATTTGATATGCCTATAGTTCGAAAACGGCGAATTCTATTTGACCCAAACTTGGAGGAAATTTAGAGAACAGTATACAAATAACTCAGTATCAATTTCATTGAATTCCATTTACTAATTAAAATAAAAATAAATAATTGTTAACAACAATATAATGGCTGTGAAATATTGAAGGCACTGATCATATGGAGTGGGAGTTGGGTTATAACAATATTGTTATGTGGTAATGAAATTTTAGGTTTTATTGAAAAAATTATTGATACTGTATTGTTTGGTCGATTCCAAACGTTACTGGTAGTGTTGCCCAAATGCGAGACCGAGACGAGTCTTGGTCTTGCAAACTCAGTCTTGGTCATAGTCTTGGTCTTGCGCAAGAATCTAGTAACAGTCTTGCAGTTACTTATTATCTTATTAATATAGAGATTATACGGTAATTTTTTAGATAGAAGAAACCTAACTAAGCCAGAATGAAAAATTAGAAGAGTTAAATGCAAAACTATTTTAACAATTATTAACAAATGGTAACTAAGATTGTCAAGTAATAGTAACTGTTTTGCCTTAATTTTTATTTTTAAATTCGATTTTTTTTTTAACAGTCCTGGTCTTGGTCTTGCAACAGTTAGGCGGCCTTGGTCTTGGTCTTGTAAAGTGCAAGACCAAGACCGATTTTGGGCAACACTAGTTACTGGCATGACACCCACTGCCTTAATTATATTTCGTGTAATTTTGAGTAAATTTAAAGTAATTTTTAGTCTGAATTTGTAAACAAAAAGAAAGTCTTAGTTGTGATTGTGTTTATTTCAATTGAAGTTCATTCAGTTTGTCTTGGTCTCGATTTCCTCCTTAAATATCGAAGTTGTGTGAACTTCACCCATATTTTCATACTTAAGCTTAATTAGCGTAATTAGTTAATTGGTATTGGTCTAGTTAACTCTGAACAAACAACACGTTGATTTTTTCCTATGGATTTCCTAGCTTCATCCATTTTACGAACTGAAAATGTATCTATTAAGTATTTATCACTATTATTATTAGTGCAAAAGGTCGTATGTAAATTATTTTAAATTATTTATAACTTTCATTCTATTTGTGCTAAAGGTGATATTTTGTAGTCTGCAACTGCTATAAGTAGTCTGCGACTATGAAAAACAGCATAGGACAATAAAATATGAAATTATACCAATAAAGCATAAAGAAATAATGAGTTTTTACGTTTTGCACTATCAGTAGTAAAATATGTATTTGTATGAATGTTCACTATGTATTCGTATTTTTTTTAAATTAAGAATAATCAATATGGAATCTTCAAATACGGTGCTCTTTCGCATTTTAATATTAGCTGATAAACGAAATTCGTGGATATCAAACTCGCGAATGTTGAAGGGTAACTTTATTTCCGAATCGGCTTCTCTCAGAGATTTTATTCGCATACGAAAAATTGTATAGCTTGTGATACAGATATATTTTAGCCTACGAAAACTGTGAGGAAGCTATACTGACCTTACTTGGCAGACGTTTTTGTAGGGAGAATGAAAGTACAGTATGTAAGACTCTCTCCTCCTTGTATCATGTTAATAATAGTTACTCGTCATCGTACGATCAATGATTATTTTTTCTTTTATTCTGATGATATCATCACCGAACTTACAGATTATAGCATGAGTACAATATTGAGTACTGTAAAAATTATTATGTTGCGTGGTATCACCATTAAAATAATTGCTTAATTGGACTATGATTCAGTTTGGGTATTTTTTTTTTTAAATAAGGAAAATTTATAAATATCTCTTTACACCGCATTGCTATGATGTCAACTATTTTCCCGAGGAAAATCATCTAATTGGGGAAACGAATATGTCACCTTTATTGTAGAGTGAGGATTTCCCGAAGCGGTTTGAGCTACAGGTGTTGAGGTACGAGAATAATTCATTGCAGAACTTCAAATAAATCTTCATGCTGTATTTTAGTAACCAGCCATAAAAATTAATTACTTCAATATTTTTTTTCTCCAATTTTCGTTAAGACCAACGGAGTAAAAAATATTTCAAAATAAGATATATCAAAGATTTAATTAGATTCTTAACTAATTTATTAGAAATTAAATTTGGAAAAAAAGACCTAAATAGGTATTAACAATCGTTATTTGTATCATACTCTAAAAATGAAACAATAGGTTGATGATAACTAAAATATGCGATTAAATAAAATATGTGATTACGAAAATTCTTACCGTATTCTTAGTTTTTCTCTAAAACATCTCTAACCAGTCTTAGACAAGAGTGTCCATCATTGGGCCCGACCATGTCCATTACTGGTAGCTCTGGAGTCAGGACCAAAAAATCGACCTCATCACAGGCGAAGGTTTGATTATAAATCACGAAGGTGTATGTTATTCTGAGTAAAATGGCGGCTGGTTTAAAGATTATTAGGCAAGGAATTTGGGGATCGAAACGGAAAATCAATTGTTAAAAATTTGAGAATTTTTTTTAACTTGTATGTATCGATTTAGACAAGTAAAAAAAATTGTTAACGCGGGCCACCTATGGAAAATTTTTGATGGCCAAAAAAGTCAGATTTTTTCGATATTTTTTTATTTTTTCACTCATAACTCATAAAGGATGTATCAAAGCGAAAACTGTACAATTTAGTAAATCAAAGAACGTTAAATTAGGAGTTGAAGGAGTACCTAAACCTAATACCACGATCGACCAACGCTGATTTTTACCAAATTTGTAAAAAAAACTGAGTCAAATTACTATAAATGTATTTTGAAAACCACATAGAATTAAAGTTGTCGAGCATCAAATTTTGCGTCCACTGAGTAGCAACTATTTTAATGTAGGTCACTTACTGCGAACAAAATTGGTAATCTCTCGATGGTTAGAAATTGGTAATAAAAGTAAACATGATCTTGATAAACGATGTGTCGTATTTCATAAAGAAATAACGAATGCCGTTTCGAGATATATAATTGGCCTACATTACAAATATCACTACTCAGTGGCACGGGCGGATCTACGGGGGGGAGGGGCTTTCGGGCTGAAGCCCCCCCCAAAATGGTAAAATATAACCACGTTTTATCGAAAAATATATTAAAATATTATCTCTTAAAGTATTATTGTTCGTGTAATTACATTTTAAAGGACTTAAGGAATAACTTAAACACCATTTCATAAAGGTAGTTAGTTTCTTTCTGTTTTTCCAAAGTAATTATCGTTATTTTTATGAAAAAAAAAGGTTTCGGGCTGAAGCCCCCCAAAAATAAATCCTGGATCCGCTAGTGCTCAGTGGTCGCAAAATTTTATGCTCAACAACTTTGATTATATGGATTTTTCCTCTTAAGGAACTCATTTCCAAAGTGCAGGGCCATTTATAGTAATTTGTCTCAATTTTTGACAAATTTGGTAAAAATCAGCGTTGGTTGACCGTGATTTTATGCCTTACCACGCAACCAAATTATAAAGTTCATGAACTCGTTCGACGCAAAGTTTAACGTTCTTTAATTTATTAACGACTAAATTTTTCGCTTTCATGTATCCTTTAGGAGTTATGGGTAAAAAAAAACAACGAAAAAATGTGACTTTTTTGGCTGTAAAAAGTTTTTCATTGGTGGCTCGCCTAAGCATTTTTTTTTTTACATACAAGTTAAAAAAAATTTTATTTCTATTTATGTAATGAGATACTGCCTAGCACTCCCTATTTAATTCTAGGTGAGAAGATCACGAGGCCTTCTTCTTTTTAGACGCCTAGGGGGATCATCAGGAATCGAGGAAGAAGCAAGGCTGGAAACAAGTGGATTCGGATGGGACTAAAGTTTATCATAAAAGGATAGGTATCTGGCTCAGGCTAAATAGTTTATAAAAAAAAAAAGTCTCACATTTTTCACAATTGATTTCCCGTTTCGATCCTCAAATTGCTTGCCTAATATTCTTTAAATCAGCGGCCATTTTTGAAAGCAGCGGCTCTGGAACGGCAGACAAGGTTCTTTTTTTCAGCATAACATAAACTTTCTTAATTTACAATCAAACCTTCGCCTGCGATGAGGTCGATTTTTGGGCTATAGCTCCACTACCACAGGCGGATCTACGGAGGGGGGGTTCTTTCGGGCTGAAGCTCCCTTCCCCCCAAAATTGTAAAATGTAACCATGTTTTACAGAAAAAAATATTAAAAACTATCTCTTAAAGTATTCTTGTTCCTGTAATTATGTTTAATAGGACTTCAAGAACCACTTAAACACCATTTCATATAGTTAATTAATTTTTTTAATTGTTTTTACAAATTAGTTATCGTTATATATATATATGAAAAAAAAATCTTTCGGGCTGAAGTCCCCTCTAAAATTAAATCCTGGATTCGCTTGTGTCCAGGACTATTAGCTATGTTCACCTAATTAATTATTAGCATTAAAATAATAATAATTTGTCATAGAAATTTGATAATATGTAAAAATAAATGTGGAGACAAAAGAGAGGACCCTACCTGTATTGAATCATTAGCAAGTTGTGTAACGGTTCTCGTCTCCACTCGCCCCATATTCCGGCTCTTTTGTTTTCCGAAGAGCCTACCGGCTCTCTTCCGGCCGGAAAGAGTGAATTCGAATAAACATCTTTCATAATATCTAGAGGATATAGGAGACCTCTCGTTGGCAAGGTCGGACGAAAATAGCTGATAACTGCTGAGGTCAAAACACATCTTAATGACCACCGTTCCCAGAAAGAGTTGCATAATTTCCAGAGGCCGTCCGAAAGTCTCCTTTGTTCTGTAAGGTACATGGCGTTCTGTGTGATTCACATCTAGATTCGTGAACATGTCTGGCAAGTACAGAACGCTTTTCCTGCTTGAGGTTAAAATGGATAGGCCGACTTACCATATGCTTACAATAACAACCTTAAATCAAATTATTATCTTATTACACATAAATGTTGTATCCTTGTTTTTTGCTTTGCTATCTATACTAGGTAAGGAAAGTATCGCAATCGGGTCAAATTTCCGATATGCGGTTTTCGACGGATTTATACGTTTCAGAGCCCCTTGAGTCCGAAAAACACATTTTTAGCCATTGGTCTGTCTGTGCCAAGATTTTCTCGTGAACTATTGAATTGATTTTGTTGCTTCTTTTTTTATTTTGTAGGGTTTTGACTACTGATGCCTGTAACAGAAATTCGGTGCTCCATGCGCAATAAATGAAAAACATGTTTTTCTGTAGACTGTAGCGCGAAAACGGCTCTAACGATTTTGCTGAAACTTTCGTATAATGTTCTAATAATTGTCCTTTCAATTTCTAAAATCCCGAGAAAATTCAGGACAAAAATTTATAAAGAAAAGAAAAATGTTATGTGGCCTAAATCTCTAACTATATATTTAATTTATAATTTAAATAAGGAAAAAACGCCGTTTAGCCTGTTTTTTTTTAATTGTAATGAAATTCCCTACAAAACTATATAAAAATCATTCATTTTGGACAACTATTAACAAAGTTACAGCTATTCAATTTCCAATGTTGCCCACATCACACAAACTTCACTATTTCCTCTATTTTAAGAGAAATTATTGCTTGACAACAGTAAGCTATGGCAAAAAGTTTTTGATCAGCAATATTAGAGGGCATTGAAATTTTTACTCTGATCTACCTTAATGGCTTACATTATATATCAAATAAATCGTACTCAAATCTTGTCTTTGATCAATTTTCAGGAAAATAAGTCTAGTTCAATTTTTTTTTTTTTTGTCTAGTTTAGTTTTTTTTTTGTTTCTTCATGAACTTATGTAAAGATATAAAAACTTTTCTGAAATCGAAAAAAAAATATTAGTTTTATAAAAGTTAATATCAATCATTATTATTTATATATTTTTTTTTGTTCTGTTGGCATTACAGACCATGTAGAACTTTTGCCGCCTTAACAAGCTTGCTCCGTCTCTAGCATAGCATTTTTGTTGATTCTTTTTGACCATACACGTGGTCTATTGCCTTCAATTGAGGCATTAATTTTTACGTAGAGGCTTCTTCCAGATGGATTGCTACGAGCTACATGTCCTACCCATCTCAACCTCCTTGACTTCATATCATGGGATAGTGATTGACCAGTTTCTGTAAGCAGTTCTTTATTGGTCTCCTTCATGTGTTAGTACTCTGATCCCAGATCGCTCCGGTTTTTCTGTAGAGGATTTATCTCTCAAATCTTTCTATATTTTTTTTCTAGAGTGCTGGTTAGTATCCAGGTCTCACAGCCATATATTAGAACTGGCTTTATCGTAGCATTGTACACCCTTAATTTGAGATTTTTCGGGATTTCAATACCTCTGAGAGGGAGAAGAAAGCTCTGTTTGCGATAGTTATACGCTGGTCTATTTCTGCCCGTTGGTCATTCATTGAGGTTATTGTGGAGCCGAGGTATTTGAATTTTTCTACTCCCTGGGATGATTTTCCTTATACGTTATCAAATATTAAATAGTAATAATTTTTAATGGTTGAAAAAAAAAATCGGCTCATTAAAAAAAAATGTCTGTCAAAATTGAAAATTAAAAATCCAAAAGTAACCAACAAAAAAAAAAGTAACAAAATGTAAATTTTTAATTTAGCCTAAATGTCTTTGATGAATTGCAATATTATTACAACATCGTCTGCTGATAGTTCCTATCACTGAATTATCTCTCTGAGACTGTAGTTCAACTGATATTGTAGTTTGTAATAGATACGTTTATATATATATATATATATATATATATATATATATGCATATATTATTATTATTATTATTTATATATATGTAAAATTTAAGAAATTCGTTCAATATTGAGTAGTTCTTAAAAGATTAGTTTAACAACAAATGTTATTCGAAAATAATAATGAGTGGAGGTGCTAACATACATTTCTAAACATGGAGATTAGGTATGGTTCATAAAATATAAAATTTTATTATATTGTATTAATTTTTAGAAATTAAGACTATATATATTATAAGATATGTCTCATGAGGGCAGCTTAACTTTCACTTAAACGAAGAAAAGGATAGTTGGGGTGATCAATCAAAATAAAAATGGCAAAAATAAATAGTAATATTTATTTTAACATTTGCCGACGTTTCGATCCGAAGTTCAGGCCTTCATCAGGGCTAATCGCTACTGATCGAAGAGATCGCTATTTATGGAATAAATAGAAATTTAATTGGATTCTATCAATTTCGATCTCTTCAATAGATTCGATCAATAGCCCTGATGAAGGCCTGAACTTCGGGTCGAAACTTCGGCAAATGTTAAAATAAATATTATTATTTATTTTTTCCAGTTTTATTTTGACTGATCACCCCAACTATTCTTCTCTTCATTAACAATTTTTTAACATTATTCAAAGTAATACTTGGGGATGTTTCGAAATAAATACTATCTTATTACACTGAATTGTTTTATTGATTGGATTAAGACTAAAACAATAGAATTCTTTATTGTTTTCTTAAAAGTGTATACTGGTCTATCAGTGCAAATAGCTTTAAGTGTCTTGTCATAGTGTTAATTGTTTTGTATATAGTTTTGTTTGTTTTGTATATAGAATATTTACCTTATATTTTCTTTACATTATTTCTTTTTTTCGATTGATTTTATTTTGACCAGATGTAATATTTTAATTTTGTTCTATTTTGTTATTCTCAAGGGGATGTATCCCAGAATAAAGTTATTTTCTATCGGCCTATCTAAAACAATAAAAAAAAAAAAAGAAAAAAGTATTTTTTACTTAACATAAAGTAAATATCCTTAGAATTTTGTCGCTCCCTAAATTTTGAAGTCCGGAGTAAATGCTTCGGTTCTTTTGGCCAAAACGTTAATGTTCTTTTAATTTTATTCTAAAGGCGCTTAGTCCCAGATTAACGATTATAATAAAGACATTTTTATTTCAGTACTTTATGTATAGAGAAGTAAGTGAAAAATTATAAAAACTTTTGTTCGTGAATATTTAAATCGGATATTACACACCCACACACAGAAAAAAACAACAAAAAATATACCGGACATACGTAACCTAGTCTATTATCAAGGTCTCTGACGAGTGTGAAATGCCTAAAGGCACATTTGTAATTATTTATTTATATTTTTAGAAGAACGATTTCGTGGACATTGAGCCATCAATTCGTCATAAAAATCATCGAACCATGATCAGAAGATCCCACTGTAGTATACTCGGACATCCTTTTTTCATACGTTGCGTGAATTCGTTAATTTATTCAACTAGATTAAAGAAAATTATTAAATAAAAAGTATTTCACTCATTGAAATGGTCATTTTATTTTTATTTATTTCATTTATCATCTTAGGCCCACTGGATTTAATTTTTAACTTTATATTGACAACTTGCTGTTTTAAATCATGAATATTTCTGAAAATGTGTTGAATTTGACTCGTCCACTTCAGCAATATTCGAACAAGCTTAAAGAATTCAATCTATATATTTTTATTGTAAAGAAATAGATGATAGACTGGCGGGGAATAGACTGGGGGAACCTATGTATGAAATATATAGTTAGGAACAGTGGTACTTGACTGATAGCCGGTCGGGACGAAACCTCCCTTGTTATCTATTGTTACATCACATAACCTCCCTTCTTATCTCTTGTAAGCTGTGAGTTATTCCATTGTTTAAATTTTGTTCCATTTGTGTGATTTTCTTCAATTGTGATTTTGTGTGACTTTCGGGCTGAAACCCCCCCCCCCCCCCCAAAATGGTAAAATATAACCATGTTTTACAGAAAAAAAATATTAAAAACTATCTCTTAAAGTTTTCATGTTCGTTTAATTACATTTAATAGGACTTCAGGAACAACTTAAACACCATTTCATGTAGGTAGTTAATTTCTTTCTTTTTTTTTTCAAATTATTTTTATGAAGATTTATGAAAAAAAATCTTTCAGACTGAAGCCTTCCCTTCCAAAATTAAATCCTGGATCCGCTATTGATCAGAATTATCAGTGTTCAGGTTAAACATTAGCAGATAGCAGTTGGTCTCGACGGGCTATCAGACACGTTCTGGGACACTTTCGAATCTGAGTTTTCAACGGAAACACATGTTTGAGGTCCCCTGAGTTCAAATAACCAAGTCCCGCAAAATGATCTGTGTGTGTGCGTATGTTTGTTGTATGTATGTGACAGGTCTAGCTCAAAAACGATAAGTCCTATGAAAGTGAAATTACATATTTAAGATTTTTATATACTTGAGATATTATAGCAACTTTTTTTTGTCAAAATCGGCTAACCAGAAGTGGCACTTTATATCATTGATGAAACACATTTTTACTATTTTCACGAAAACGGCTCCAACTATTTTGATTAAATTCATCATATCAGTGTAAAATTAAGCATTTTTTAATATTATGTAGGTTTTATTCTCATTGATATTCTCTAACAGGGCTTAAAGGGCTAATTTTCAATGTTAGCTTCCTCTAAAGTACCTTTAATTTTTTTTATTTGAAACAATTAACCATTTCACATTGATCTTTAATAAAAAAAATTGTTAAATATAAAATATGAAAGAATTTGATAATTAACTAAAGGAGAAATAAGAGATCGTAACAGAGTTATAGTTGTAATGAAGGAACCAAAGGGATACGCGCACCCGAGCTCGCCCCAAAAGGTTGGGACAATTTCCATATGTAGCTTATATTAGCTTAGTATAACAAGGACTCCAACAATATTCTGTAAATATACATATCTGGTTTTCATAAATGATATTGTTGGTATTACTTAATATTTAATTGTTTAGATTACAGCGTTAAAAATATTAAAATTTGTATATATAAGGGTACTTATACAAATAAAAATACCCACAATAAAATATAAATAAATATAATATGATTTTTACTTTCGCTTTCC